ATTGGAGGGTTTTCGAATGTTCTGTTTTGGTACTGGATTGGATTATATGTTTTGGCATTGAATTTGATTTGGTTTTGGTGTTTTGTCGGGATTTATTTGCAGGAGGATTGTTTTTCTTGGGTTTCGACTGGATGAACATTAAATGTTGTTCTTTTGTTCTATGGTTCAGACTCCAACCCCTTCTAAACTCACGGGGGCGCGTTGTTCTTTCGGAAGGAATTTACTTGTAGGTGGTACTACGTTTCTAGAGAGAAACAATAGGAATACTCGCGTATTTTCTGCATAAATGATCTTGACGCTGAACGAATGTTTGAGGATGGATGTTGTTTGATCGGAAATGTGAGAGTAAAAAAAGGATCCATACCATACCCAGCTGCGTTTTACCTGCAATATGGGCATGTTCACACTTACTTCTGTTTTTGCGAAATTTGTGTTGTCTTTGTAGGATTTGTAGACGGATGGATGGATGTACTGGAAGCACAACGAAGGCGAATTTCTACGAATTGATCCGTGTTTTCGAAAGTGAACGTAATGACGAGCGTCACAGATAGGTTTGGTTCGATGGATTGTTTAAAGCTTCGGTTGTGCGGGGGATATTAGTACTTTGCGGGTGTCGTTGCGGTGAAGTACTGAGAAAGGATGGACCAGAAGAAGAGCGTTTTTCAGAGAAGGAATGAAGGCGATGAGACAAGACGTTGTGAGTTCAGGAAAATTTGCATCATCGAGTTCTTGGTTATTTGTGTGTCATGGAGGAGTAGGATCTACGTTTTGGGTCGTAAATGGAATTATATTGACTTGCCGTGTCATTACGATGCATACGAGCAGGGGGGCTGTAAGATATACTCGTAGCATAGTAATGTGGTTGAATATGAGGCATGGATCTACGGAGATTGCAGGTGGTAGACTGCGGAGGAACAGGCAGTTTCTGCTTGGTTTCTTCGGAGATTCGATGAGTGATCTGAATTGCGTGACGGATAGGTGTGGTGACGCTCTCTTCGGTTGCTCGCTCTCTATTGTTCTCTGCTGTTCCCTCTTCCCTCTAATACAAGACTTTCCCATCTCGGCCCTCACTGGCCGAGTAGCCTTTCTCCACAAACCTACAAGCTTCGGCCTACCCGGTTTATCCAACATGTGTTTTCTGCGCTCAATGTATGTAGGCGCGAGGCCATACAAAATGCTCTGGATTGCAAAAAGTGAAAACGGGTTGTTTCCCTGGCCGACGTGATAATGAAAAGGTATCCACGTAACTTCAGGTCTATGATGGCACTAACATACCGGTGTGTCTCTTTGCCGCTGAGGAGCCTCCCCACCGCTCGCTTTGTTCACTCCTTTTCACGACGAACTACATATATGTACATCAGTCTATGCATCAATGAGCATTTTATGCGTAAGTACGCCGCTCGTTTTCGCTACATATATTATTCTCTTTATTTTTGTCGTTGCTGGACACTCACTCGCGGTCACGGAGCGTGCCCTGCTTATCGCAAGGGCTTGTTGCTGTATCCGTTCCGGCGGTGTTATTCTTCTATTCTCATTCGTGCTGTTTTGGGTCTCCTGACACAATCCTCC